GGGGGGGTTCGGTCTGTGTGGGGGATGGTGAGTATGAGTTGCCCCCTCTCCTCCCCGAGACTGTTAGAATAACCCCCCCGCACAACCCCAAACAACCAACCCCTCTACCGGAGCGCTTCGCCATGTTATGGTTGGCAAGGGGTGTCTCGGTAATGTTGGTGTGTGCGGTAATTGCTCCCCCCGGCTGGGCCCCGTGTACCCTCTATGTGTGGCGCCCTGTACACCCGGTCAGTTCTCTCACCATCCTGGCGGCGGTACAGCGGCCTCACCACCAGCAGCCTCCTGCGCTGTGTCCGCACTGCGACCTCCCTCCCAGCATGCACCGCGCCCTTCGCAACCGCACCGCCCCCTGCTCACCGCCATCTTGTGTGTGGCGACCAACGCCAGCACCGCCCACCCGGGGGCGGGCACACAGGACTCACACCTGTCTGAGGGGAGGAGCGAGGAGTGTCGTCTCCACGGCGACGGGGTGGGCGGGAACGAAGGCTGCGGACCCGCCTTCACACAGCAGCTGGGCGGTTTTGGCGCCAAATTCTCCTCACAGCGGCCGAACTGAGGCCAGGAGACGGGAGGAGGAAAACACTGACCGGGAACGACAACGACCGGGAACGACGCCGACGGGGATAATCACTGACTGAGGGGGAGATTCACGGACCGGGCGAGGGGACACTGACAAAACACACGTAGATCCGGGTCCTCCATGGTGAGCAGCCAATCAGAGTCCAGCAGGGGGAGGAGCTCAGAGATTGGTCAGCTCTCCCAGTGGTGGTGGTTGCCATGGGTGATGCCAGTTAGGGTCAGGCGGGTGTCATCCTGATCCTTGGATAGGTATCCTGGATCCTCCATAGATGTGACTGTCATGGCTGTCCGGTACTGGGGATGTGGTGTCAGTGCTGTACAGGGTGACGATGGATGACTGGGCGGCATGTCTCCAACCGGCAGCCTTCTCCCGGTGCACCAGAGCCGCCCTTCCATCATCTGAGGTGAGCCGGTTCCTGAGTACCATGGAGGAGCTCCGCCCCTGAGGATGGCCAGTACCATGGAGGAGCTCCGCCCCCAAGGACGGCCAGTACCATGGAGGAGCTCCGCCCCTCCTTCCCGAGGACGGCCAGTACCATAGAAGAGCTCTGCCCCCGAGGATGGCGAGTACCATAGAGGAGCTCCACCCCCGAGGATGGCGAGTACCATGGAGGCGCTCCACCACCGAGGACGGCCAGTACCATGAGGAGCTCTGCCCCAGAGGACTGCCAGTAGCACTCTGCCCCTCCTTCCCGAGGACGGCTAGTACCATGAGGAGCTCTGCCCCCGAGGTGGCACCTCACACCTAGTCCCCGGGATGGTCAGTTACCATAGAGAAGTGCTGTCCCCGAGGTGGCACCTCACACCTAGTCCTGGGGGTGGTCTGTTACCATAGAGTAGTGCTGTCCCCGAGGTGGCACCTCACACCTAGTCCTGGGGGTGGTCTGTTACCATAGAGTAGTGCTGTCCCCGAGGTGGCACCTCACACCTAGTCCTGGGGGTGGTCTGTTACCATAGAGTAGTGCTGTCCCCGAGGTGGCACCTCACACCTAGTCCTGGGGGTGGTCTGTTACCATAGAGTAGTGCTGTCCCCGAGGTGGCACCTCACACCTAGTCCTGGGGGTGGTCTGTTACCATAGAGTAGTGCTGTCCCCGAGGTGGCACCTCACACCTAGTCCTGGGGGTGGTCTGTTACCATAGAGTAGTGCTGTCCCCGAGGTGGCACCTCACACCTAGTCCTGGGGGTGGTCTGTTACCATAGAGTAGTGCTGTCCCCGAGGTGGCACCTCACACCTAGTCCTGGGGGTGGTCTGTTACCATAGAGTAGTGCTGTCCCCGAGGTGGCACCTCACACCTAGTCCTGGGGGTGGTCTGTTACCATAGAGTAGTGCTGTCCCCGAGGTGGCACCTCACACCTAGTCCTGGGGGTGGTCTGTTACCATAGAGTAGTGCTGTCCCCGAGGTGGCACCTCACACCTAGTCCTGGGGATGGTCAGTTACCATAGAGTAGTGCTGTCCGGAGGGGGGGGGAGGGGCACCGGATTCCAGGGTTGGGGTGCACTTTGCTTTCGGCTGATGGAACATTGAGCCGTGCCAGGAGCTCGGTACCTGCAGAGCCCGATGTCCTGACATTGCAGGTAGGATCTCCAGGGTTTGGCAGCCATGTTCTGGACGTAAGGTGACCCGGGCCTAGATCACATGATCCTGAGGCGTGTGTAGTCCCCGGCAGGGATGTGGGGGGTGGGACTCCGTGTTTCTGGATCTTCATCCATGTCCTTGTGTCTTCCTCTCTGACAGATTCCCTTCTCTTTCCACGCGTTCCTCCCCGCGGTGAATCATGCCCGTACCCAGAGACGAGATGGGTGACGCTCCTCTTAGCCGCACCCCCATCCCCGTCCCGGCCTACTTCCGCCAAGCGGAAGAGAGCTTCTCGCTGAAGAAGAGGGGCCGGCCGCTCTGCTACACCCTCCCGCCGCGTCCTCCGGTGAAGTGCGTGCCCCCCATCAGCCGACTCTTCCCCAACAAGCAACGATCATGGAGCCAGCCCCGCCCCCAGAGCGTGTCCTTCCGCAGCCCCCAACCCACCGCTCCCGACAGCCAACTGTACGACCACAGCAAAGGAGAGACCTTCTTCAGGCAGTGCTTCCAGAGTCTCTACAAACTGGGCCGAGGATCTTTTGGGGAAGTGTATAAGGTGAGGGGGCAGAAGATGGAGGGAGGCCTACGGGGACGGAGGGCTGGCCTACGGGGACGGAGGGCTGGCCTACGGGGACGGAGGGCTGGCATACGGGGGCGGAGGGCTGGCCTACGGGGACGGAGGGCTGGCCTGCGGGGACGGAGGGCTGGCCTGCGGGGACGGAGGGCTGGCCTGCGGGGACGGAGGGCTGGCCTGCGGGGACGGAGGGCTGGCCT